ATTTTTTTTTTGGGGTTTTTTTTTTTTTTTTTTTTTTTGAGAGACAGTCTCACTAAGTAGTCCAGACTGGCCTTGAACTCACAGTGATCCTCCTGCCTCAGCCTCCCGGTGGGATTACCAGCCAACTGAGATCTGCATTTTGAACACATTTCCAGATGATGCTGGTTGAGGGGTCCATCCACTGTGCTACTGGTCAAAGGATTCTTGTGTGTTAGGAATTTATCAGTTTGGAGCTTAATAATTTTCCCTTTGCTTTCCTTGAGGTTTCCACAGGTTTCTTTTTTTTCTTTTCTTTTTTTTTTTTTGATGGGCTTCCATGAATCAAATGTGTCTGTTAAGAAAAGATTGGTTCTTCTTCTGTCCAGATGGTGCAATACACTGGTTTTGGGCTATTTGGAGACCCCCCTCCCTGTGGCCCAAGTTTTCTGATCTCCTGACCCTTACTGGTCTTTTTCTGCTTATCTCATGTAGAAAATTGGATGAATCTGCATATGGCAATTACAGAGCAGTTCAGGCACAAACACCCAACTCGGTAATGACTGTTTTGAACCAAAACTCAGACCACAGGATTTGTAATCATCTTCCGGCCTGAGGCTTGCAAGCAGGAGACAGTGTGGTATGACTGAGCTGTGAACTATAAAATGGCAGACATTGTGATTGTGATCATCTACAGGGATAGAGTTCTTTGCGGGATGGGGTGCCAGGGCTCTAAGCCAGAACCTCAAGCAGCCCAAGCAAGTATTCCACCACTCACAGCACAAGGACTGATATTTCAAGATCAGGACTGTCCTAAAAACCTGCGTCATTTGCCATGTCACTCAGGGAAAACACACACACACATACTCTGAAGACTTCTGGGCTTTACATCCCTTTTATAACCAGCAGCAGAGGTAACTAATGTCTTGTGGAAGTGGTCTTTCCATGGGCCCAGTCGTGAACCCTGTGCTCAACCTTACTCTACCCAAAGGCCATATCACCAACAAGTGTCCCTATAGAAGCTGGAATGTTTTTCCTGAGGCTGCTAATCCAACCCTCACACATTCACTTCCTGGCAGGAGACAGGGTCGCCCCCAGCGCCTACCTCAGCCAGCGCAAATTCTCCAAAACTTTGATTTCCAAATTCAAAACTTGCTGTGTCCCACATACTACACCTGTGACTGGGATAGATTAGCCCAGGTTGGTAGGAAAAGGAAAAGGATCAAGCTACACAGCAGAGGACAGGTTTTACTGGAGTTAAAACCTCAAGGGAACCTTGGCAACTAGATCAGAACAGTACCATCTCTTACAGGCTATGGGGTTTTATGGGGTTGTAAGAGGAAATCTGTAGCTGCCTTGGAGTCTGTGTGACTACTGAACTGCTGCAGCTGTGGTCAGCTGTCTTGGAGATTATAATTGTTAAGACTGTGATTTATTAAACTGCTGGGAAACTGATTCAGACACTACCTATTCTGGGAAAAGGGGGCCTGAGGGAAGAGTGCCTGGATATACGTGGTCTAATTTCTTCACAGGGAGAGTGCCAGGCAGTAAGCTTATACTTGGGGCAGGTAAGGATGAGATCCTGGAAGCTTTGCAGCTTAAGACGTGGGAACAACACACTCCTGCACACTCTGAATTCTTTTAAATCTTTTGGCTTTGGAGATTGAAACTTAGGCTCCATTCTGCCCTATTTGAGTGGACCCCACTTTGTTTTCAGACCAAAGCTTAGCTTGGCTTTCAGGTTGTTTCTGACAGAGGCTGGAAGGAGGGAGCCTGCCTCTTTCCTCCACTGAGCAGGTGAGCTGGCAACCTTCAGGGAAAGTTCCCTGTGGGAAGGTTCCCTTTATTCATCCCAGCAGTGCTGTACAGGAGGCAAATAAACAAAACCTTAAAACAGGATGAGAGGTTTTTATTTTTTCTTAAGATTTTAAAGTGGGCATGGTGGCATTCTGCTGTAATCTCAGCACTGAGAGGCAGAGGCAAGAGGATCCCAAGTTCAAGCCCAGCCCAAGTAACTTCTTTAGTGAGAATCTGTCTCCAAAAAAAAAGGCTGGGGATATAGCTCAGTGTGAAGGCCCTGGGTTTATCCCCAATACCATAAAACTTACAATTAAATTTAGAAACAGTCTGGGGATATAGCTCATTGTCCCCAGTTCAATTCCCACCAACACACATGCATGCATATACACACAAAAACGTGGAATCTATCAAATACACAGTGGAAGCAAATCTGGATTTCTCAGAATGAAGTCTTTTTTTTTTTTCTGGTGCTGGGGATTGAACACAGGACCTTGTGCTTACAAGGTAGGCGTGGTGCCACTGAGTTAAATCCCTGGCCCTCGGTTTCAGTCCTGGCTCTGCCCCGGGAGAGCTATGTGACCTTGCTGAGCTTCCATTTCCTATCTGTGACAGTCCCACTCACTGACAGGATTCTTAGTGAGACGAGCATGTAAAATGCCCCAATGTGGGGCCGTCACCTCTCAACGTCCATCCCTTTCTCCAGCTTTATTCTTCTTGATCCTTAGCAGTTGTTCTAACCTCCGCTCCAAAACAACTTTCCTCTTTTCCTTTCCAGGCTTCTAAAACTCTCCAGACCAGAAGCCCTGAATTAAGACACTTTGTCTTAACCCTTGTCTGCATTCCTTCTTTCCAACACTGCACCAGAATGGTCACTTTAGCATCAGAGACGCTGTGCTAATGAATTAACATAGGCCGCATCCTCAGACACATAGTAAGTTCACTCTTTAGCTGCTCTCCCTCATATAAGCTGTGTGATCTTAAAGCCATCACCTAATTTCTCTGGCCGCAAGAGTCCAGCTTATCTCCCAAGGTGGTGAAGTTTTATGTGGGTTTTGCATATTAAATGCTAAGCACACAGCCTGGCCTGCAGAAAGAACTTGAGAAATGCTACATAATGCTACCATTTGTTCTTTCTTGCATGGGTCCTATGTCACCCTCTTCCCCTGTTGTCCCATCTAGGGCTGACCCCCATCGCTGCACACCCCACAGGCAGGCAGCTTCCTGGCTGACCCCCTGCCTCCAGCCTGCCCTGCCCCAATCAAACCTCATTCCTATTGCTGCACTCCACTCCCACTCCCAGCCCTGTGGGCCCTCTGTCAAGAACTTCCTAAAAGTACTCTCCCTTTCCAGCCAACTCTCCCCAATGCCAAGGGAAGGAACACACCACCTTGGCCCCTCCTCACCCTGGCCTCAACTCCTGCCTGTCCTATGACTTTCCAAATTCCACTCCATCCTCCAATCTTCCGCTCATATTTTACTTCTCCCAGGAAACCTTGGCTGAACTCGCCTCTTCCCGCTCCTTTCTCTGAACTTCTGTGGTTCTTACCAGCACCACAGAAGCCATGTCCATGGGCCCTGAAACCATCGTGGGGCACAGGCAGATTTGAAGGAAGTATCTGGCAATCAGGTGAGTCCCATTTACAACCAAAGCTAAGTGTACACAGAGTGGAGAGACATCAAGCCAGGATCCCTCAACTGACTAGTGACAGAGACAAAAACACTCAACAATTCAAAAAAGCCAAGTTTGAGATTACTCTTTTAAGAGTCCAGGATGACTTTATACCTAGGTATCAGCTGGTTTCCTTGTCATTTATCTCAGTTTTCTAAAACAGTATTGCTTTGAACAAATTGGACTTTTTTTTTCTACTTATTTGGAACTATTCAGTTTTATTTTTGGGGAACTATTTGAATGTTTGTTGCAGAACCAAGCAAAGGTGACAAGGGGTGGCTCATGGGGGTCTTCAGTCCCTCTTCCTATAACCTCTACCAAATTCCCGACAGCTCCAAATAAAGTAGAAAAACTGTGCCCACTATGCAAATGCAGTGCCAAGCAGTCCTTGAGCCCCTCCTGTGCTGAAATGCAAAGCTAGCATTGCACTCAATGAGGGCATTAAAGGGGGCAAAAATAGACTGACTGGCACAGGGACAGAGTAGCGGGAAGATGCCATCCCCTGCACTCTCCTGGATTCTGCCTTCTCCTCCACTGTGGACCCTGTGAGGTTCCGCATCTTACCACTGTCCGGAAGGGTCTGGATCAAGTCTTCCACCAGAGCCTCTGCCTCCTCACTGCTTTCAGGTCGATGCTCCTGCAGCCAGGCCTGAATTTCCCTTGGCAGCATAGTCAGCATCTGCTCCTTCGTGTGCACCTGTGGCCTCAGCCAGTGCCGGTGGCTAAGTGCACCCTGTGGTCCTCCAGCTGCTACCGTCTCCTGCCAAACACCCTTACCAACACCACCAGCCAGGAGCTTGGATTCAGGGCCATCCTCCTCCAGGACTGACTCTTGTACCCAGGAGTCGTCCTCCAGGACCACAGTGGTGACCACCTCCTCCTCCTGGTCCTCTTCCTCTGGAGACACCTGGACCAAAGTGCTCAGGGGAACGTTTGCTGCTGGTACTTCTGCAGCCATCATCCACCTTCATGGGACAATCACGCAGGGTTCTCGCCTTGAGTCTTCTCCAGCCAGGCTCTCAGAGAGGACACTCAAATCTCAACAAGAAGCCCTGCCAAGAATCAAAACAGAGAACCAGAGTCACTAAGTGTCCTAAAAGCAACTCATAGCAGTCTGGCTTAGGCCAGCAAGCAATCCTTACATCTGCAAACCAGCCTTTCCTGTCCCTCTTAAAGGAAGAATGCCCCACTCCTGAAAACATATCTCTTGCAGGACATGGTGGTGCAGACCTGTAATCCCAGCACTGAGAGGCTAAGGGAAGAGGATCGAAAGTTTGAATCCAGCCTGGGCAATTTAGTGACCCAGCAAGATCCTGTCACAAAACAAAAATAAAAAGTGGTTCAGTGCAAAGGCCCTGAATTTAATACCTAATATGGGAAAAAAATATTTCAATCACAAAAGCAGTCCCATGCTTTCCAAGAGACCAAAGAATGAGTATCAGAAACACAATGTTTAAAAACAAAACAAAACAAAACAAAAAACAGGACTTATCCTGCTCTGAATCAGTTCAGACTTGCAGTACAGCAGGTCACCTTCACCTAACATACAACTTAGTCATTCAACCTCAGTAACCACGCATACAAGGAGATATCTTACAGATTAGAAACAAATCCAATGTCAAGGCACTCTGAGCTTTGCCTGAAGGCAAATATCTCAACTTCATTATTACCATTCCTTAAAGTATAGGATCCTCAAGAGAGCAGTTCCAAGAACCCTGACGATCAGAATCTGTGGCCGCTTGAGACACTTACATATAAAATGGTATACTATTTGCAAATAACCTGTGCACATCTTTCTATGTACTTTATTTATTTTGCGGGGGGGGGTGCCTTAGTTCAAACTCAGGACCTTGCACTTTGTGAGGCAGGTGGTGGCAACACTGAGTTAAATCCTGGCCCCTATTTATTTATTTATTTTTTAGGTACCAGGGATCAAACTCTTGTCCTTGCACTTGCGAGGGAGATGGCAGAACCAGTGAGCCAAATCCCCAGCCCAATTTATTTATTTTTTGACACAGGATCTCCCTACGTAGTTCAGAATGACCTTGAATTCATGGTGATCCTCCCACCTCAGCCTTGTGAGTGCCAGGCTCAGAGGCATGGGCCACCACACCTAGCTTTCCATGTACTTTAAATCATCTCTAAATTACAATACCTAGAACAATATAAATGCTATGCAAATAACTACAATGTACTGTTTAGGGAATAAACAAGATGACAGAAAAAAGTCTACATGTTCAGAATACATGCAATTAAAAAGCTTTCTTTCAATCCTAAGGATATGGAGAGCCAACTCTATAGAGTTTCTGACATGCTTATACTCTGATCTGCCCTTGGCCCCTCTGGACTTGTGTGTGTGTAACTGGTAAATGAACCCAGACTTCACAGTAAGCTATATGCCAAGTTCTTCCAATTTAAAAACTTTTTTTTTTTTTTTTTAATTTTGAGACTGCGTTTTGATAAATTGCCCAGGCTGGGTTTAAACTTGCAATCCTCCTGCCCCAGCCTCCCAGCGTGCTGGGATTACAGGCTTATGTTATCAAACCCAGCTGCCTCTCAGGAATTTATCTTAAAAAAATAACCATCTTCGTAGAGTATTTCATTTGCAAGGAATATACAACCACAGCATTGCTCCTAATTGTAAGAAGCTGACATCTTAAAAATCTAGCAGCAGAGCTAGGGTACATAGCTCGGGGTACTGAGGAACTAGCAGCAGGAAAACAGTTAATAAATCATGGCGCTTCCATTCAGTGGAATGTAATAAGTATTCTAAAATAAATAATGGCTACCTTTAGGGAGTAGTGTCTGGGAAAGGTACTCAACCTGCAGGAGTGTGGGAAATGTTCTGTATCTGCACAAAAATAACATGAAATTACAGACCTGTGTATACTCTATTGTACTAAATTTTTAAAATTTTTAATCTATTTTTGTTCTTTGTAGCAGTGGGGACCTAACCCAGGGCACTGAACACACACACTAGGCAAGCATTCGACTACTAAGCTACATCCTGGACTAGTATTAACAAGATTATCATCATTAACGATTTCTGATAACCCCCCTGATATGAAAATAATGGATAAACACAACACTAGGAAATACCATGCACAGTAAAACCCCAATTCCCTTTAAAAACTAATACAAGGAGAAAAACAGACCTGGACAGCTCCACAAAATATTGTATTGAGAGTAGCAGAATTACAAACGATTTAAGTTCAGAGCTGCAACAAAACAAACTAGAAGGAAAACTGAAGTTTCCAATGTGCAGTTCCCCAAAGCACGAGAAGCTCGGGGAAACTGCAGAGACCTCAAGTTCGCAGCCCGCTCAGTTTCCCCGTCTGAGCCACAGTCATCACGCGGGATGTCGAAAGCCCATCCTTCCCTAGAGCAGCCCCACGCCTCCCGGATGCGCGAGGGAGTCGGGTCTGCTCGCCTATGGAGAGCACAGCCATATTGACCTGTGATTCACCCGAGCAGTGTGGACTTGCCGTCACCCATAGCAACGGGCTAGTTCAGCTGGTGATCTGATCTATTGCCTAGCAGATGTAACTCATAGTAATTGTTATTGCTTCCTTCTGGAATGTGTGGGCGGTACTTTCGCTCCCGTACAGCTGGAGAGTGTAAAAGGAAAAGGTTCTGTAATCAAGCAAGTAACTTGAGAAGAAAAGTGCCTCCCGTCTCTCTGTCCTCGTCCTTTCAGGTTTAGGACCTGCTGGCAGGATCCTGACGTCGCGGCTCGCGACACTCGCCAGGTCTGGGGCTCAGGTGAAACAGGGCCCCCCAGCCCGAGCCGCCAATGGCGCCCCCGAAGCCCCTCCCCCAGCGGGGCTGCCAGGCTGGTTCCAGGCCTGTTATCCCTTCGCCTCACGCTGCTCCACCAGGGGCGTGCGCGGCTCGGGGCAGGCCCCTCAGCTAAACTCTCCCGGAACCACGTCCGGCCCAGGCTCCCAAATCGCAAAACCGGCCTCACGTTCTGCCCGGCCGCTCCACACTCACCTTGGCTCAAATCCGTGGGGCACCAAGAACAATGGACGGGAGAACCCCGCCCACTACTGCACCCATTGGCTGCTAAGAACGTCCTCTACAATCTCCGCTTTTCTATTGGTGAAAACTGCTCCCCACGGCGGGAGGGATGTAAGACCCAAGGCATTGTGGGAGACGTAGTCCGCTCAAAGCCGACCCGACCTTGGTGCAGGGAGACTAGCCAGAGGAAGAGCCTTGAGCGGCGAGTGAGGGCCTGACGCAGAAAACCCGCGGGGCAAGCCACCGATTTCCCAGTGTTGGTGGAGGCTGCAACCCGAGACTGGTCATCTCACAAATTTTTTTTTCGTACTGGGAGTAGAACTCAAGACCTCGTGCTTGCCAAGCAGGCGCTATGCCATAGAGCTACAACCTCGGCCCTGGTCATCTCACTTTTATGCGGCCTCCGTGTATTTGCCTGTAATGTCAGACGGGCAAACTTGAAAGTCCTTTTCAGGTCGAGAACCGTGTGGCAGCAAGTGACATTGTTGTCCTCCACGGGTAAGGGCAGACCTTGGCACGAGAGAAATTCGTTCAGGAAAAGACCCCGTCATTCAAACCCGCGCCTCTCCTTATGATTTACAGCTGTGCACGTGTGCCCAGTTTTGCACGCCCCTTTGTTTTCACAGGTGGTCTTACTGCGTGAGCAGGAAAGCCCCGTCCTCTTCGCCTCAGAGCTCCCTGACTTCCACAGCTGTCTTGGAACCTTCCCTCTCGTCGCTACCCCAGGAGCGGCACCTTACCTAGCACACCGGTTCCACGGCTCCGTTTAGTATTCATCATCAGCACCGAATTGCTTGTTAATTCCTGCATAGGGTGAATGGGAATGGGAGCTGATCCCCCCACCACCGATACTGGGGTTGAACCCAGGAACTTCATACTGAGCTACAGCTCAGCTCTTATTTATTTATTTACTTACTTATTTACTTAGAGACAGGGTCTCGCCAAATTGCCCAGGCTGCGCTTGAACATGCAATCCTCCTGCCTCAGCCTCAGAGTACTGCCCCCAGCTAAATCTTCTCTTTTTATGGACTATGAATTTTGTGTTAGAAATTCCTCTGTACATTTCCAAGATCATTTGAAATCCACCCGATTTTCACTAATTAACCTTTAATCCAGTTCCAACATGCAAAGTAACACGCCTTTTTGCTCGAGTTATCATCCGGAGGTGTTAGCTAACTGACCACGTGCAAATAGTGCCATCTCCAGGCCGGCCTGAGATACCTTAAACCTCTGGAGCAAATTCCTGATTCCTTAGAGGCTAGCATTCCTACAGAAGATCCGAAAATAGTAGAAGAAAATAATTTTGGGATATAGCCTTTTATTGACAAAAATTTGTTTTCCTCTTATCCATCCTCAGGAGAAATGGAAACTTACACAAAAGGAAAAAGATCAAGTGCTGGGGATTTAGCTCAGTGGTTCTGCCACCTGCCTTGCAAGTGCAAAGACCCTAGTTTGATCCCTGGTACCAAAAAACAAAAACAACAACAACAACAACAACCAAAAACCAAAACAAAAGGAAAGAGATCTGATGGGCTGGGGCATTTGCAGCTGATACTTTCTAGCAGCTGAGTTCATTCATCTCTGCTCCCATCCCAAGTCAGCCTTTGGACTTGGCGCCAGCTATCTCTGCATTGTGATTGATTCTTTGGGAAGCTGGCCTTGGGCACTGTCAACTGTCACAGTGAGACAGTAAGTCCCATGTAAGACCAGCTCACGGCATAATGGTCCTACTGAGAGGGTCCCTGGTACCTGAGCTAGTCATTGAGACTGGCCTGGGACAGCAAGGCAATCAGAACACAACCAAATTCAGGGTCGCTCTTCCAGGCGATTCCTTTCTCCACTCACCAAGAGGCTCAGGTATAGCAAGGAAAAGGAGTATTGGTTAAAAGATTCCGTCAATGACTGTCTTAATTGAAAGAAAAAGGAACTTACTGAAAAGACTGTGGGGGAGCTCACAAAGTAGGTAGGAGCCAAGAGCTCATCAAAGACCAGTTGGGAACCAAAAAACAAAGCAGGAGATCCTAAGAACCATAGGAACAATCTCTAATCTGAAACAATCTAACTTGCACACTCTGGGTGCTGATACTGAGGTAGTATAGAAAATAAAGATAGGTATAAAGGAGATAAGGAAAAAAAATCATAATTTAAAAAATTACTCAAGCCAAATATGGTGGCACACACTTGTAATCCCAGCCCTTGGGTGGCTGAGGCAGGAGGATCACAGAGAGTTTGAGGCCAGCCTAAACTACATTGTGAGTTGAAAGCCAGTCTGAACTACACATGGAGAGACCCCAAAAAGTAAAAAATAAAAGCTACTCAAGCCTTTTTTCTTTCTGGGAAACTCATTAAAAAAAAAAAAGCTAGGCATGGATGGTGGCTGCACACTCTGGGAGGCTGAGGCAGGGTGATCTGAAGGTCCAGGCCAGCCTGGATGGCTCATTGACTTAGTGAGATCCTACCTCAAAATTTAAAAAAAAAAAAAAAAAAGAAAATTTGTTTTTTGGAGGGTTTATCTTTTTTTTTTTTTGGTACCAGGGATGGAACTCAGCACCTTGTGCTTCCAAGTCAGGTATGGTGCTGGTGAGCTAAATCCCCAGCCCACAAAATAAAAAGTTTTAAAAAGGGCTGGGAGATAGCTCAGTTAGTGTAAAATCCCTCAATTCAATCCCATTATCCACAAAACAGAACAAAGACAAACCCAAGAGTCTTAAAATACACACGGTAAAACTGTAAATTGGGTTCTGGGCCAGTGCTTTTCTTTCATCTCTAAAAATGGCCTTTTTGCTGGTGAGTCGCCATCCCTTTTGACCTATAAAACAGGCCATTCTCTGTAAGCTCTCATCCTTCATCTGTAGAAAGAGCCATTGCCTTTGGCCTAAAAAGTGAACCTGTGCTTTCTGTCTGTTCACAAACTCCAGAGAGCAGGAGGGGGCATAGCTCAGGGATAGAGCATTTGACTGCACAAACTCCACAGATTTCTACCCACAAGACCACAACTCCAGGACACAATGTGGCTCACTCTCCAAATGCCTTCCCTCCCTTCAAATGTGTACTTTTTTTGTCAAATAAGTCTTTCCTGTGCCTATAAGTCAAAGGGAACTGAGTGAGGAAAGAAAAACAATTTTTTTTGTGACAAGATGTCGTGAGCCGCAACGTCAGAATCCTGCCAGCAGGTCCCAAACCCGAGGGAAGAACAACAGGAGAGCAAACAGTCTCACAGACTTGGCTCCAGGCTCATGCTCTCTTCGTAGCAAGGCCCCGTTTATTTTTCAGGGTGGAGTATATATAGGCTAAAACCGAAACCAAAAGTGTGAATAGGGCGTAGCTGACTGCAAAGGTCACAATGCTCTACAAAACAACTATTATGGGTTACATTTGCTAGGCAACAGGTCAGACCACCCGTTGAACTAGCCCGTTGTTATGGGCGACGGCACGTCCCTGCCAGCGAGGTGACTCAAAGTTCAATCATGGCTGTGCTTATGTCAAGGCTCACCACAATTCCCCCATTTCTCTTTGATAGCATGAAGAATGCTAGCAATAGGCTGTTCATCATGCATAAGCCAAGGAACCTCTGTCTTAGGCGGCAGAAGTCTTCCATCTCCTTACCCATCATCAGTCGTAGGGCTTATGTCCCAATACGACCTGTCTTAGGTTGGTAGACAGAAGCTTCCGTCCTTACCCATCACTGAGCATTCCGAGGCAGGGAATCTAGGCATGTCGAGCCTGAGCCAAATAGATTGCTACTCGTGTTGCATCATCACCTAAAGAAGCCTGTACAGCCATAGCTAAACGTCCATGACGAAACACGAAAGATTGACACATTCCTGTCATCCTGCTACACATACAACAACCACAAATACAAAGAACCATCAAAACTACAATGATCATCAATACAGGAGCAAACACCACAGAAAAATACTGTTCAGCGGCAGTACCGAAATGTTGGCCTGAGGAAAACGTGAATCTGCTCACCAAAGTCCCACAGATAAGCCTAAGTCCATGGAATATTCGAGTGACCAGTCCAAAAACCCTTGAGATGTCTTATTAAATCACCAGTCCCATTAAATCCTTGTTCTGGACAATAAAGTCTCCACTTGTGCACCAAGACACATCCTGGAGTTTTCTCTGCTGCTTCAGTGTTGGGGTCCCAGTCCGGTCTCCTCAGTGGAAATCCAGCTTCAAGCTGTTCAGGGATAGTGGTGGGTCTATAAATGTATCTGTAACCATAATTAGGTGTAGCAGAAGAAAAAGGAGAATACCTGGACCAAAAGGTTATTATCATAAACAATATGTTGGAAAAACAATATAAATACATTTTGTATACCAGATATGAATTCTTATGTCCTGAAATGTAGCTTTTGTATCAACAGGATCTTCCCTGGTTTTTTTTGTTTTTTTTTTTTTAACAGAAAATAACCATCAGAAACATATTACAATAACATTTCTACAATTCAGAACTTTGATAACCAATAAAACATTCCCAACAACATATTCTACAAGATATATCTTTTTATAAGGCTATGAAAATTATTTTGGTGGCTCCCATTAGTGAACAAAGATCAGAATAAATTTTCTGAGCAGCTGCTTCTTTATTTACCAACAGGAGCATATCCAAATTTAAAGGTTATATCTAATTATCTTTTAAGTTTTTTATTTGATCCTATAAAGCCAGGTTGTAGAAATCAACAATCTATTTGTATTTGATGTCATTCTGATCAAGAACATACAAACATCTTTGAACATTTAAGACAAACAAACATATAAGACAATTTTAACGAGTGCACTCAGATGGTTTCGGCCAATTGAATTATAAAATCTTTTTGTTATGACTAGTCAAAATTTTTGCAGATCAAAATTAACAGACATCTCTTGTAGAATTAGGGTTAAAGGATCTCTTCTTGACTATAAATGTAAACCTTTTATAACAAACTTGAAACCAACAAGCAAACATTTTATAAATCATTTCCATAAACATTCTCTACATTCTTAGGTAAAGACAAGAGGAACATACAAAAACCTTTCATGTCAAAAGTACAACTCTTACTTATAGCTTTCCTAATATTTTTCTATCTCATTTACTATTAACCTTCTATATAACAAACTACTATTTTGTTCTTTATTTTGGTCTATAGTCAGTTTAGAACATACCCTCGCTTGGAGTGTGCGTGGGGAGGGACAGACTGGTCAACAGATACAAAGTCAAAGTCACAGCCAGATGGGAAGAATAAGTTCTGGCATTCTATTACACTGATTATTATAGTCAATAATACTGAAGAGTACTTCAACATGGCTACAAGACAGGATTCTGAATGTTCTCATCACTAAGAAATGATAAATGTTTGAAATGATAGGTAACCTAAGCATCCTGAGTCGATCATTTCACAATATGTAAATGTAATAAAATACTACACTGTATCACATAATGATATACAAGATTATCTCAATAAAATAATTTAAAAGAAATCCTACAAATCCATACAATTTGTGTGTCAAAAGCTATTATACCATACATAAGAAGTGACACTAGTATACACATACTAAAACTAGCAGGCTTATACAAAATAATCTTAGAAACAATTAAAATAGTAAAGAGTAGCTATAGTAGCTAAACAGATTTAAGTAATGACCTTACTTTATCTTCTAAGACAATTAGGTTTCTATCTTCAACACTGAACGTCCTTGCATATTACCTCAAAATGTTAATTCCTTCTCTAACCCTCAAACACAAGCAGAATTCTGTGCTTGTCTTGCAGCAATAATAGCTATCACAACATCTTAACCTCATCAGGAAGTTCAAATACAAAAAGAAGACATGCCTGAGCTTACAAATCATGCTAAATGTTTCACCTTCACAATTAAAAGTGAAAACTCTTCAAAGAGAAGG